TGAATTAAAATAACCACTTTCAATATAATTAAAGAAAAAAAATTATATAAAGCAATGATTTATAGACCGAATTTATAATTTAAGCATAATAACTAGATTAAAACTGTCATTTCCCCTTTAATTTTTACGTGTAAACAGTCACCGATAGGAAGCGCAGTGGCAAAGTGGTGAATATAAGGCATAGCCAGGGGCAATGACGAATTGGACAATGATAATACTAAATTCTGGAAGATCCAATTTTGCCATCTACCAAATCTCCAATTTCCCCAAACAGGCCCAGACCGCAGCAAAAGTTCAACGGCCAACGCAGCAGCAGAGAAGGAGGAGAAAATACAGAGAAATTTTAGAGAGAGAAATACGGTGAGATCAGCGCGAAGCACTAGTCAACGAAGGAGCTCAACGCTGTAGACAAGAGAGAGGGAGAGAGAGAGAGAGAGAGAGAGAGAGCGTGTGTGTGTGTTACTGTGAGTCTTCCGGCATTAATGGCGGAGGGGGAGAAGCAGCCGAGGAAGCACGGCGAAGAGAGTGTGAAGCTGTTCGTAGGTCAAGTGCCGAAGCACATGACGGAAGCGCAGCTGCTCGCAATGTTCAAGGAGTTCGCTATCGTTGACGAAGTCAACATCATCAAAGACAAGGCTACTCGAGCTTCTCGAGGTTCAACACGCGCTCTCTCTCTCTTCTAAACTCTGTTACATGTTTTGCGTGTTTGGATCACAATGCGCGATTCGAGCATTGCGTCCAGGTTTTGTTGAGATTTCTAGTGTTTGAATGAATGCTGTGGTTTGTGGAACCCTAATTTGGTGTTTTCAGGGTGTTGTTTTGTGATCTGTCCCTCAAGAGAAGAAGCTGACAAGGCTGTAAATGCCTGCCACAATCAGAAGACTCTTCCTGGGGTTAGTATTCTCTGATTTTACTGTTACCACTGACACACATTGTTCTTAACTAGTTAAACTGTTGAAGTGAGCAATGCGTCTTTCATTATCTGAACTAATCACTGTTTCTCAGCGTTATGGGGGTAATGGCTCAGTTAGAAAGTCCGAATCACTTTAATTACTGTTGCTAATGTAGAGACAGCGGAAATTTGGAGAGGAATAACTGAAGTGTAATTTGCAATTTGGCAAGTACAAGGGAGTTCATAACTGACCATTTCTGTTGGGAGCTTTAGGTCAAAATGTGTAGGAAAGAAGTCTTTGTCCAAGTTAAATTTGAGCATAGAAGTAGGGGACATGTGAAAAGCATCTTGGGGACTGTATAGGGAGGGAACTGGAATAGTTTAGATGGCTATGTGAATCTTTTATGTGATGGTGTTATCACTTCTAAAGATTCCTAATCCAAATTTCATATCATTTCTGTACTGAATGTAATGCCTCTCTGATTTCAAGCAATTACTGCTTCAGAGTAACCATGGTCAATCTGTGACTTTTAGGTTGGAAAAAATCAAGATATCTATATGGCTTTGACCTGGTAGACTAAGTTTATTGAGTAGCATGTCATTCTTAGAATCTTAGTAAACATTGGCTTTCATCTGCATTATATCTGCTGTGTCTCTCTTATATCTTTGCCTTTAAAAAAAAAATGAAATTAAGACATCCTGACATCCTTTCTCTCTCTAATTCAGGCTGCTAGTCCATTGCAAGTGAAATATGCTGATGGCGAGTTGGAAAGACTAGGTGTGATATAGTTTGAATTTGTGGTGTAACACATGTTTTCTTCTTGTGATGGTTCCTCTCAATTGTAAACTTTTGAAAAGTTCTTTTTTCAACCGGGTTCTGGAATCTCCTTTTTTTTTTTTTTTTTTTTTTTTAAAGTTGATCTGTCTATAGTAATTGTATTGTGTCTGCAATGCAGTAACTCTCTTCTTTCCCATTTTATGTTCCTTTTTTTCCTTTATTTAACCCCATCCTCCTCTCCTGGGGAAAAATGCAGAACACAAGATTTTTGTCGGGATGCTACCAAAGAATGTATCAGATGCCGAAGTGTCTGGCTTATTCTCTCAATATGGAACCATTAAAGACTTGCAAATTTTAAGAGGTTCTCAGCAAACTAGTAAAGGTAAGCCAAGTTCACCTCTGTGGGTCTGTTCCTTTTCTAAATTTCAACTACCAGTTGATAATGAAATTTATTGACATTTCCTTATTTTCCTTCATAATTTCTTGGTTGCTGTAGGATGTGCATTTTTGAAATATGAGGCAAGAGAACAAGCAGTTGCAGCTATAGAGGCCATTAATGGAAAGCACAAGATGGAGGTTGTTTGTTGTTTACCAATTCCTTTGACTTATAATGTGATGTCTTGAAATATTATTACCTGAACTACTTTGATTTTTATTATTTATTTGGTGGAGGGCTAAAGAAATATCATATTTACCTTACTTACGTTGGGGCAAGCTGCTTGAGAAAGCTGTATAAAACTACAATATCATTTATGATTGAAATGCGCCTTTCAGCGTTATAAATTGGCATAGGAGTTTGTCATTCTTTTAGCATTTAAATGTTTTTGACACATCTTGAGATGAAGGATTGATGGTTTAAGTGACAATTATCTTGAGTTAGTTTAAGATAGAAGTTAGATAGACTTGTATTTACAGTTTATAAAGGTGACGTTTTGCTGCTCAACTTGTCTTTGTGGATTTCATAACACTTTCTTTGCCAGGGTTCAACGGTTCCTTTAGTGGTTAAATGGGCAGATACAGAAAAGGAAAGACAAGCTCGTAGGGCTCAAAAAGCTCTATCACAGACATCTAATATGCCCGACTCTGGACAGCATCCATCTCTATATGGAGCTTTACCTATGGGTTATATGGCACCATACAATGGATATGGTTATCAGGTTGGTTTACTCTTTATCAGATGTACTTTTTGTTAGTCCAGAGGATTGATTGTTAAACTGTCCTTTGTACTTGTTGAAATGCATGCTTTGTAATTTTTCCTTGTGTTGTCCTTTTCATTCTGCTAGTTGTATTCCATTTGACCCATATTTGGAAATGTTTTCAATATTGAGTCATTTGAGTGTTCATTTAAACTGAATTGCTTTACAGTCTCCTGGAACTTATGGAATCATGCCGTATCGCCTACCACCACTCCAGAATCAACATACATTCCAGAATATGATTCCAACTTTAAACCAAGGAAATGCACTACGTGGCACCACACCAGATATTTCACCTGGTTTGACGCCAAGAAATTATGCCATGCCACCTACAAGTTACGTAGGATCTACTTACCCTGGCATACCTGGGGTACAGTATCCCATCCCATATCCTGGAGGATTCATGAGTAATAGACCTTCGAGTAGTTCTGGTGCTGTACACCCTAGCACTTCAAACAGTCAGTCTGCAGCATCTTCAAGTGTCAATTCAAATTTGGGGGCTCAGGTTGAAGGTTGTTCAAATTTTAATTTCTCTCTCATCTTACCTCCATTTATATTACAGGCCTGTTTCTAAGGCAGTTTCATTTGGTCAGGGGGTTGTTTGGTACCATTTCTATGATTAATGTATAACTGTACTTTGAACTCCCGGAAATCGTTATTATAAAATGAACAATGGTGTTGGCAGGTCCACCGGGTGCTAATTTATTTATTTACCATATTCCTCAAGAATTTGGTGACCAAGAGCTTGCAAATGTATTTCAGCCTTTTGGTAGGATCTTGAGTGCTAAGGTTTTTGTTGACAAGGCAACTGGTGTTAGCAAATGTTTTGGTATGATACTCTGTTTTGATGCTGATTAGACTTGAGGGTGTACTGCCACTGTTCTGTTTTAATCATCTTCTCACTGCAGGGTTTGTCAGCTACGACTCTCCAGCAGCTGCACAAACGGCAATCAGCAGGATGAATGGCTTCCAATTAAGTGGTAAAAAATTGAAGGTTCAGCTTAAAAGAGACAATAAACAAAGTAAACCTTATTGATATCAACAAGGTCAGGTATGGAAGGAAGCTGATATTCTTTACAAGATGGTTACATGCTATAGTTGTAAGGGAGAACACTGCATTGGGAGCAATTGAGGAGTGACTTATGATGATTAACAACTACTTGGCTACTCAATTGTGTTTTTAGTCTCCTTATGGGATTCAAGTCCCAGAAACTTGTAATTCTTGATTTATTCTTGTGCCACTGTAATTTTAATTTCATGTAACATGGATTTTCATTTAGACATTAGTTAATTGATTGATTCTTCCACCCAATAGACCTTAATGTTCTCAAGAAGATGTTTTTCAATCACTTCTCTGATGAAAAATAAATAAATCCTTTCAATACCTTTTTTCTTTGTTTCTTTTTTTCCTATTTGCTATTCTCCATCTTCTGTTTAAAATGCATAGGTTGGGTGCTACCCAAAGTGGTTTGATTTCTGAGTATCTACGAAGGCTATTGCTATGGTATTTTGAAGAATATTGACTATGAATTTTCAGGTACTTTCTCATCAACTTGCATGGATATCTACTGGTTCTATAATGAACCCCATCATACCTCCTACTTTATCATTGTAGATGTGTTTAGATCCTTGTTGCTACAATAACATTTTTTATGTCCATAGACCAGCTGTTTCTTACTTCTGATTTCCCCTCATCTATGTGTTTCAGGAAGTTGACTATGGATCTTGTGGATGATTCACGTAATTGGGGAGACTGTTGGGTAATTCAGAAGGTGGCATTATAGATTATCACTGTAGATGTGTTTGAATTCTTGGTCCTACATTACTTTGTTATGTCCATAGACTAGAGGCCTCCAACATAATCACTTATATGTGTTTGAACCTGTCAGTGTCAGGCCATATAACAATATTATATTCATTGACTAGATGTCTCTTACTCTACTGATTTCCCTTCTCATCCATACATTCCAGGATGTTGGATATGGATCTTCTGGGTGATTCACATAATTGGAGAAATCTTAAGGTAATTCAGAAGGCTGGATGCTTCTTTACTCGGATCAATAGTACATCTATGGAGAGAAATGGAACAAAAAAACTGCCATTTTGCTTGGGGTGCTCAACGCCGAAGGTAAAGTTCACTCAATAGGCAATAAATTCATTAACATATCATTGGTATATGATTTCCAAATTCTGTAAACAGAAATGCCAACTGCAGCGAGAAGGGACAGTGAGTTTTCATATGACCTGAGAGCTCCGTGGATCCAATATATGATTGCAAGGATAACTGCTACATTTTGTTCTGTTTCGTCTTTAATGCAGGGGAGTTGAACTATGTTCTGAAATACCTAGAGGCATTTGACTTGGAAATCATGCTTTCAGCTGGCAACACAACAGCAACTGCCAAGGTCTGTATTTGAATTTGCATTCTTGTCAGTGAGCTTACACTTTTGTGATCAAATTCAACACCAATAAATGTCCAATCTTACTGTGTTGTGGTTCTGAAGCTAGTCTAACATTTCATAATACGTGATACACTCATTAAACTGGCCATTGACACAGTAACTCCTACTTCTCTCATCTCTCAAAAAAACTAATCTTTTTGAGGATGCTGCTGCAGGTTGAGATTCTTTACAATTGAATTGAGGATCACACCTCTTTCAGAGGAGATGGATTGTGTTCTTGATAGTAACCACTGGCCAAAAGTTGAGGGGACCTTTACTAACAGGAAATTTCCAAGAAAATTTTCAATTTTGAAAATAGAAAACAGGAAATGTGTTTACTATGCTATGTTTTAATTTTCAAAGTTGAGAACAATTCTCTATTTTAGAGGAAATCAGAGACACGTTCAAAACTTGTTTTCAGATTAGGAAATCGCCGCGTGAACAGTAAAACGCTAGCATCGATTCCTGGCCGCAGCATCTTTCTTCCTCATTTTTCTTCTCACTTTTTTCTGCACCTTCTTCTTCTCTTTCACAACCCTCACCGTTCTTCACTTTCTTCTTTCTTCCTCATTCTTCACTTTCTTCTTCCTGGGTTCGCCGGTGCTGCCTCGCCGCTGGTCTCTTTGCTTTGCTAGTCCGAACGAGGGGGAGAGAGAGATGCGAAGGAGAGTGGAACTTTCTTCTTCCTGGGTTCGCCGGTGCTGCCTCGCCGCCGGTCTCCTTGCTCTGCTAGTCCAAAGGAGGGGGAGAGAGAGATGCGAGAGAGATGCGAAGGAACGTGAACTTTCTTCTTCCTGGGTTCGCAGGTGCTGCCTCACTGCCGGTCTACTTGCTCTGCTAGTCCGAACGAGGATGAGAGATGCGAAGGAGATTGAGAGAGAGGGCGTGAAGGAGGGTAAGAAAATGCAGACATTGCTGACTTCTATTACTCTCTTATTCCCACCAGTTCATGCCTTAAAGGCCCTGATCTAATTGTCATTGAAACTTGGGATTGAATTTCTGCTTAAATTTATGACCTGAGTCTAGATCTTTGTTGTTTGGATGGTTGGGTTATTTGTTTGCTGTTTGATCAATGCAACTCAAATCTAATGTGGGTATGTTCTGTATCTTAAAGTATTTTGATAAGTTGTTTCATTTTGGTTCTAGTAAATTAATGATCTTCATGTACCAAACAAAATGATAATGGCCTAAAGGGTTGATCTTATGTGATTTTCATGTCAATGGCAATCATTATGGGCAAGTATAGGGCTCAATTGCCACAACCAATCTTGTTTTGTAATTAGTGGCAATGATAAATCAGCAGCTTAGTAACTTATTCCTGCAAGATGTTATGGATCAGTTCATCGGAGTTATTAGTTCTAGCTTATAACAAATTGGCCTTTCCATAACTAATTTAGTAAGTGGAATGAATTTCGAAAATGAAAACAGGGAATAGAAAACTGAGAACGAAAGTGATGCCTATTGTTTCAACTGACCAGACAAGCAAATATCGCGCTTCTGCTAAAGTGATGCATTTCCGTCTAAATGGTGAAGCTTGATAGTATCGGTCTATACTGCAACGTTGATCGAAGGAAACTTTAAGAAGAATATGTGTATCGTTAGTCCATGTCACGGTACCTATTGTACTCCAATAGTTAGGATAGAGTGATAGACATTAAACTCTCTCACACACACATACAAAAGAAAGTGCAACTTAGAAAGAATTGGAACCCTGAATAGCAATTGCACCATTTATTTCAGTTAGAGAATTGATGAGAAGTAGGTCTAAGCAGAAACTCTAGAAAAGAAAACATTTATTTTAAGTATGTACATACCCTAAATGCAAACCCTTTAGCATTTGAACAAGCATGATTACCAGAGCTTGAGGTGGGTTAAAGCCCTGATTGTATATCAAATGAATAACAAATTTATTAAAAAAAAAAATAATAAATTCTGGAGAGGCAAAGATTATGATGATCATAGGACTAAAGTAACCAACCCGAAATGAAAACTAAAATTCCTGTGAAGCAGAACCGATGTCCTTCCCCTTTCCGGACTTGTTTGGCAAGAGATGTTGATGGATGTTGGGCAAAACGCCGCCGTTAGCAATGGTAACGTCGCCCAAAAGCTTGCTCAGCTCCTCGTCGTTTCTCACCGCTAGCTGTATGTGGCGAGGCACAATCCTGTTCTTCTTATTATCTCTAGCAGCATTTCCCGCCAATTCCAATACCTAACCACCACAAACATTTATGCACCAATCATCATTCATCAGACAAGAGAAATACGAAGCATTCAAAACGGCAAACGTAAAACTCACTCACCTCCGCTGCCAAGTACTCGAGAACGGCAGCAAGGTAGACCGGAGCACCGGCGCCGACGCGATCGGCGTACTTGCCTGCTTTAAGAAAACGCGCGATCCTGCCCACCGGAAATTGCAGGCCAGCCTTTTGAGATCGGGACGTGGATTTGGTTGCCTTGGGCTTCCCTCTGCCGGAACCCGCAGAACTCATTGTCGCTCGCAGAATGAAAGCAGATAGAAGAGAAAACAAAATGCACAAGCTTCAAATCAAACGCCAACCCTCCTCTAACCTCAATACTAATGCCTTCATTTCATATACAACACAAAATCCCTAAACACCCATCGATTACCACTTTCAACCATTCATTAGACCCTAAAAAGGTGCTCCAGCTCTAATTAATCACACATTCTTCACATTTCCATCAAATTATAATCATTCTTATCATAATGTACCTTTCTTTCAATCAAATTAAATTTTGGAGGAATTTTCATAATTATTTTTTTTAATCACATTTCATTCCGCATATTAATTACCTTAAATTCTAGACAACATTATGTTATTTTAAAATATTTTTTGAATCAAATACTCATTAAGATATAATCTGTGAGTGGTCAGAGTTTATCGTATGACTTTAATCCATTAAAATTTATAAATTAAGAAAGTCAATAAAAATCTGTGATTACAAAATCAATATCTGACTAACTTAACATAAATTGTCCCAACATCTAATTTTATCGAGTGAACATGATGCTGATCCAAAATCCCAACATCTAATTTTATCGAGTGAACATGATGCTGATCCAAAATCTTGAATTTGGACTAGTTAGTAACTTCTTGGGTCAGATATGAATTGGGTCTATTAGGTTAGCTCAATATACATTATTTAGTTCAATAATAAAATAGGTTTAAAGTTTCAAACAATTGAACATAATTTAAATCAGTTTAGAGTAATAAATTAATATGTGCTTTGAATCAAATTGTAAGGTATAATTTGATTTGATGTTTCATTATAACCTTAATAACTTTAATAAGATTCCAAGTATAGTTGAATATTAAATGTACAATCGTAATGGCATGGAATCGTGTTCACCATTCATGGTGAACACGGTTCCAACGGTGTTAGTGCACCGTTATCTTTTTTTTTTTTTTTTAATTAATCGCATGACTTTTCTTCTGCATTTTCACATTTCGCGGTTTCACTTTAATTTGAGGTGAGCAATGATTTTGGACATTCATAAATTATGAATCCATGCCTGCACATTCACTTTGGACCCGTACCTACACATTCCCGTCCGAAACCATGACTGCTGCCTACACATTCACTTTGGACCCGTGCCTACACGTTCCCGTCCGAAACCATGACTGCTCCTCTGTAGTGCAAGCTTCTTCAACATTCATAAATTATGAATTTTCTGTTATGAGATTATGAATTTTCTGTTATGAGATTATGAATTTTCTGTTATGAGATTATGAATTTACTGTAAATTCATAATCTTATAACAGAAAATTCATAATTTAATAAATATTTTTCTTTTATGCGATTATGAATTTTCTGTTATGAGATTATGAATTTATAATACATTCATAATCTCATAACAGAAAATTCATAATCTGATTAAACGTGCGCCGTTAACACCACATTCGCAATTTTTTTTTTTTAACTTAAAAACGACGTCGTTTGGACCCGTGTTCACCATTTCCAGGGCATAATTTGCATTAAATGTACCATAAGACAAATTTGAGTAATTTGAACACTCCCGAACCCAAACCGGCCTATAGTCTAATAGTCCCTACTTGTTGACCAAACCCAGAAAAGGCCAAACCTCTGTGGACCACACCTCATTTTCAAGTCTTTAAATTTTGTACCATCACAAAACCATAGGGGCTAAAATTGAAATAAGTACAAGGACGAGGACTTTTTTTTGTAAAATTTGAGGAATAATCCACTTTAAATTGTTGGATGCATTATTAGGGCATCCTCAATAGTGGAGGTTTTGATGTGATTTTTTAGGAGTTTTTGTAAGTGTGATTAGGAAAGAGAATAAGCGAGGAAAGAGAAAAAAGAAAATTTTAAAATATAAAATTCTGATTTCAAAAATAAAAAAAAGTGTCATAAATTGCGCTAGAAACGCTCACGCGTCAACTGGGCGCACCAGTGCCTCTCACGCAAAGTAAAAGCAATTGGCATTAATTGTTGGCGGGTCCCACTTTCTGCAAAGAACCCCATATTTTCAGGAGCAAAATTTATCCATCTCTCTCTTCTTTCTCTTTCTTCCATGTAAGCATTTGTTCCTAAAAAACGTGAACAATCCCCTTATTGGGGTTGCCCTTAGGGAATACAAGAGTTAATAGTTTGAAAGAATCGGTAAGCAAGATGTTAGTATAATTATAAATTAGTATGGACTTTTGTAGATTCCTTGTGACATTCATGTTTATTGAGTCACTAAGCTAATGTAATTTACAATTCTCTCAAATGCTCTGTCAGGTCGGAGTATAGAGTCTGAATTTTTGTAAGTATTTTTGGTTAAATTTTTATAACTAGGAAGATTAATTTTATTGTTTGGTGAAAAAAATTATTAGGAATATTGATTCTATTGTTTGATTGGATTTAAAATTATAAAGAATAACGAGTATAAATATATATGCACTACTTACAATATAATAAAAGTAATAACAATCAAAGAAAAAATAACAAAAGTAAAATTGTTAAACCGCCTCAATTTTTCTTTTTAACTCCCATGAAAAACAAAATCTTATATCCTACTAAGAATTTTTATTTTTCTCAAATATGAAAAATTCATTTTCCTCCACCTTATAAGGAAAATATTTTTCATGAATTTTTTTTTATCTAATCAAACATTTCTTTATAGTGATAGATATATTGGTTACCATAATAATAATAATGATAATAATAGTAAATAAATAAATAAATAATAGTGAGTGGGAAAAAATAGCTTTCTCCTTGTTTGTCTTTATCCTAAAAACCTTTCATCGCTAGATGCATCAACGGTGGAGCCATTCCGGTCCGGTTTGATCGCCCCGGCCCACCTCATCATCAAATGAAAAAAAAAAAAATCTAATCACGGCGAGGGCCAGCTCATAGGACACGTGTCGCCCATAGATTTCAAGTGGCCATTATCCTCGTATCAACTTTTGAGCGGGTCCCACACCCAAAAACACGTGCCTATGACGTGAATCGGATAAGTCCATACTCACACAACGACAAATTCAAAAGCCTAACGCTCCCTTTTATTATTATTTATTATTTTTTTTTTGAAAAAATTCACAATTATTATCTGAAATTATGTAATAAATAAGTTTATTATATAATAATTTATAAATTATATAATAAATAATATTAAATTTTGACAAGGTCTAATTTCAAATTGCAATGAAAAATATTAAATAATTCTTATAATTCTGGTCAAAATGATTTTGTTGATTTTTAAAATAAATTAAAAAAATGTGAATTTCTACCAAAAATATACTCCGTATTAATTTGAAATTAATATTATTTTAGTTACGTGGACAGACTAGACCAATCACAAAATGGGCCAACCCCCAATGATTGGCTTGGCCCATTTGAAGTTGTCGTTGGCGTGACCAGAATGTTGTTATTAGGACAAAGTGAGCAATAGAGTAGATGTTACTTTAACCATTAAACCACCTAATATAAATGTAATTTACATTAGAATTAGTTTTACAATGGTAAAAATTTTAGATGCCAGGTAACTTTCTTTTGAATCACACAATCTATGATTTTTGTTTGAGTTACTGCTCATGGATAATGTTAGTTCTCTTATTTTTGTTTGCTTTTTAGGTACGGTTCATGATTTTCATTTGATTCGTAACTTATGAATTTTCGATGTAAATATGTATTATCTTGTTGTTTTCAGATCAGAGCTTTTTTTTTTTTTTTTTTTTTTTTTTTTTGCTTTAACGCGTGAATTTCGGACAGGATGTCAGCTATCCTCTTTTTTGTTTGTTTGACGCGTGAATTCAAGATTTATACGTTTTAATTACGGTTCATGGTTTTCATTCAATTCATAACTCATGAATTTTCGGTACTAGATATGTATTATCTTGTTGTTTTCATACCGGAGATATCATATTTTTTGTTTGCTTTGCCGCGTAAATTTAGGATTAGATGTCAGTTAGGTTTTTTTTTTTTTTTTTTTTTTTTTTTTTTTTTTTTTTTTTTGACGCGTGAATTCAAGATTTATACTTTTAAATTACGTGTTCATGATTTTCATTCGATTCATAACTCATGAATTTTTGGTATTAGATATGTATTATCTTGTTGTTTACAGATCGGAGCTATCCTCTTTTTTGTTTGCTTTGACGCGTGAATTTCGCATCGGAGGTATGCTATCCTCTTTTTTGTTTGCTTGACGTGTGAATCCAAGATTTATACGTTTTAGTTACAGTTCATAGTTTTCATTCGATTAACTCATGAATTTCTGGTACTAGATATGCATTATCTTGTTGTTTTCAGATCGGAGCTACCATCTTTTTTGTTTGCTTTGACGCGTGAATTTCGGATCGGATGCCAGTTTTTTTTTTTTTTTTTTTTTTTTTTTTTTTTGACGTGTGAATTCAAGATTTATAGGTTCATGATTTTCATTCGATTCATAACTCATGAATTTTTGGTATTAGATATGTATTATCTTGTTGTTTACCGATCGGAGCTATCCTCTTTTTTTTTTTTTGCTTTGACGCGTGAATTTCGGATCGGATGCCTGCTATCCTCTTTTTTATTTGCTTGACGCGTGAATTCAAGATTTATGCCTGCTATAATCTTTTTTGTTTGCTTGACGTGTGAATTCCATATACGATGCCACCTATCATTTATTTTTTGTTACTTGTGAATTTCATATCGCACGCCAGCTGCCCTTCTTTTATTTTCTTTTGAGTTATAGTTCATGATTTTCATTCATTTCCATTTGACTTGCAACTCATATATTTTGAATACTATGGCCCTGTTTGGTAAAAAATTGGCCTATAGGCCAATTTTGGCTTATTTGACCACTATTAATTGTTTGATTTAGTTAAAATATCAATATAAATGTTTGGTTAATTAACTTTTTGCAACTCCAAAAGGCTAAAATTGAAAAAGTTACTCCAAACAACTTTTTCAATTAGCTTTTTGAGAAAAGAAATTATACCAAATAGCTAACAGCTAATTTACCAAACACTTTTCTACAATCAGCTAATGTTATAAACTATTTATACCATCTAATTAACACAATCAGCTAACAACTAACCGCTATCAGCTAACAGCCATTTTACCAAACAGGGCCTATATATTATATTTTTGTTTACTTTCAACTCATCCTTTTGTTCATTCTCACTTGATACACCACTCCTTAATTTCGGTGCTAACTATCTTCTTC